ATTCCATGTTGCTGGCCAACTGGGCACTGATCCCTCTAGGAGGTGGGAAAGGGGGAATCATGTTTTGTGAGATTGGCAGAGGCTAATTTTTTTGGCCTTTCCCTCAAATTGGACTCGTATTTGGCTCACCCAATCCATGGGGGAGCAGTGGAGAGAGATCCCACAGTGCCACCAGACTTTGTACGTGTCTCCCTAAGAAAACTGGAAACTCCATGAGAGAAGAGTTTACTGACTTTGAATCTCTGTGTCCTGTCCCAGTTCCCAGGACCATGCCCGACACCAAGGACCCATCCCTAAACTCACACACTTCCTTTGAATTCCTCCAACCGCAGGAGATGGCCTCAGGATTTTCCAGAATAAATAATAACAATGGCCATCAAGAGAAAGACTCTGTATCATGTTAAGTGAAATGAGTCAGAAATAGAGAGACAGACATAGAATGACTGTACTCATTTGTGGAATATAAAGTAACATAATAGATGTTTGGAGGATCCTCCCAGGAGGGGAGATTCATGTCGAAAGTAGACTATGGACTGAACATGTTTGCCACTCAATGCCTCTTTTGCAGACCACAACACCCAAATGGAGAGAGAGAACACAGGGGATTGTCCTGCCACAGAGGCAGGGGGGGATGGGGGGATGGGGGTGGGAGGGATATTATCCATGGTGGTGAAAAACGGGCACTGGTGGAGGGATGGGTATCTGATCATTGTATAATTGAAACCCAAGCACAAAAAAAATTGTAAATCTACAACTGTAAAAAAATAAATAAATAAAAATTAAAAAAATTAAAAAAAAGTGATTCATTAAACTTTTTTTTTAAAAAAAGAAAATTAAGAAAGACTCTGTTCACAAAAGTAGACTTTTGCCAGTGCAATTTCCACCCAGACCCTAATCATGCATCAAGAAACATGTGGCCCCGGGGCCCTGCCATAGGTTTGGAAGGAGCGAGCTGGGCTGGAGACATTCAGAGCCATGTGTGTCCCCCGCTCACTTACTCAGCGTCTGGTCCCTGGACTGATGTCTGTTCATCACAGCCTCCTGCACCAGAGTCCCTGCAGAATCGGCCAGGCTGCCCCTACTGACCCCCAGCTAGTGTTGGTTTATTACAGTCATTTCATTGGTTCTCAGTGGAGCTGTCCCTGAGGAACATTTGGAAATTGGAGGGGGCTCACCTTCTATAAATGTGATGGAGCATTAACATATTGAAAGACTTTTTTATTTCTCCTTTATAGTAATCTGGAGGATTATGGTAGCTTTAAAAAATATTTGTCTGCAAATATTTAAGTTTTTATATGAATTTTATTTTCAAATAGCAGAGGGGGAATTACAAAATGCATCTTAAAGTGCATTGGAGAGCCAGGGAGATGAGGTGGAGGGCTCGAACATATGCTTTGTGTGGGGGGAAGTTTGATCCCCAGCACTCCATGGTCTCCCAAGCACCACCAGGAGCCACCCACAAGCCAAAAGTAACCCCTGATACTATAAGGCGTACCTAGTTGCCCCTACCCCAAGAAGAGAGTATTGTCAGGGGATTCTGTCAATAGCTAAGTGAGGAGATAGTAAATCTTCTACCCCAAAGCAACTATAATACTGGACCAAATGGATCAGAATCCCCGTGTAGCATTCTGGACCTCCACAAAGGTGTCCAACAAGTGGAGCAATGTTCCAGAAAGTTGGAAATGCCCCAGCAGGCATGTCAATGGCATTCACATCCCCCAACTCCCACCCCCAGCTCCCAGCCCTACCAGCCTGGGGCTCCCCAGAGTGGCTCACTGTCTGGGCTTTGGTTTTAAGAGATGCAGCTGGCTGAGTCATGATAGCGAGCAGGACCCACGTTGGCCACTTTGCTGGTTTCAGAGGGAAAATCTCCAAAGCAGAAAAGTGTGCCTTACTTTAAGCAAATACCCGCTCTCGCCTGTGGCTTGCACCTGTGGTTGGGGTGGAAATATTCCTGGCCAGAACTTGACTCGAAAGAGACCAAGCGGATCCCACATTCCTGGAGCAATTCCAAGTTGTGTCCATGGATAGAGGAGAGGAGGGGGCCCAGCAGAAAGAGAGTGAGTATAAACACGGCTGAACTGGAATGTGAGCCTGTGAGGGGAAGCTCTAAAGTGGCTCCCTATGAGCCCTCCCCTTTGGGGTCAATGTTCTGTGGGACCCTCCGTTGCGTCTCTAGACCGGAGAGTGACTTGCTTCCAATGAAACCAGTCACATAGTAGGAGGGAAGCCTTTCAACGCCAGGTGAGGTTGGAAAAGACCAACTCCTCCTTGTCTCTTGCCCTCACTTTTGCTATCTTGTTCACTCATTCCCTTACTCCCTCGTGTTCACTTTCTCTTTCTCTCTCTTCTCTTTTACTCTTGCTCTCTCTTCTTTTACTCTCTTCTCTTTTTTACTCACTTGCTCACTCTCTTTTACTCTCTTGCACTCTCCTCTCCCTTTTACTCTCTTATTCTTTCCACTCTCTTTTGCTCTCTTGATTTCTCTCTCTCTCGCTCGCTCTTGCTCTCTCTCCTCCATCACTGGCTGAAGAAAAAGATGGGACTCTGAATTTCCCTGTAGAGACCCTACAGAGGCTCTGAGTCACCCGGAACCAAGCAGGCCATTCTGCCAGCAGCCAGCAAGAAGGAGCTGCTGCCCTCAAGGGCCAGTAAGAACCAGCCACATCACAGCTGGTGGGAGTTTGTAACAGATCCTTCCCCTGTCAAGTCTGTGGCTGGCTAGACTCAGCTGAGGCCCTGACCACAACTAGACTGAGAATACAGTTAAGACACAAAAACACCCTGACAGCAAATGTACTTGTGTCAAACCACGGACCACTGGAAAGAGTTTTGACGCAGTGAAAAGAAAACAAAAGCTGATCCATTTCCTCTACCCATGAAGTCATCAGCAGAGAGCAGAGACTTTAGATCCTAGAGGAATAACATCAAGAATGCCAACTGGTGTACAAATGGGAATCTCAGAACTAGAAACATACCGATGAAAGAAAATTTGGGGAAATTATCAGGGAAAAATCTTGAAGGACTGGAGCATGTACCTTGCATTGGTCGAAGCCCTGAGTTCAGTCCCCAGCACTGCGTGCTTCTCACCTCCAGTCCCTCCGTAGTAGCCCTGGCAGCCCCCTCGCAGCCCAGGTCCTAAGAACTGAGCCATTAGACCGGCACCCACCAGACTGAGGATCACAAGAAGCAGCTCCCAGACCCCCAAAGTTCTGTTTGGGAGGTCCAAAGCATAATGAAAACAGCCAAGATCTTTCAGAATCTGATGAAAAACAAGTAGATATCCAGAAGGTTCAACAAACCTTAAGAAGAATGAATATAAAGAGACCCACACATAGACACATCGTGGTAAACTGTTGAAAAACAAAACCCAGGAAAATCAGCAAGAGAAAAATGACTCATGTGCAAGAGAGCAGCAGTGGGTTATGGGAACAGCTTGCTCCCCATTAAAAAAATAATGAATGCCAACAGCAGTGAAATGACACCAAATGTGCTAGAAAACTGTTAACCAAGAATTCTGCCATCCAGCATTCTTTCCTCAGAAATGAAGGTAAAATAAATACACTCCACATGCACAAAGCCTAAAAGAATTAATTGCTAAAATCCTACATATGCACTGCAAAATTAATGAAGCCAACTATAGGATTACATGTGTATGAGTCTATTCTCTACAATTTATGTTAATTCTCAAGCAACGTGCCTTGAATGTCTGACAACTACTTGCTCAATATACAACAAATCTATAAAATTAATTTAGAATAGTGTTTACCCCTATATGGTATTAGTAGATAGCAAAAAAACTGGGGTCCCATGATGTCATTTGTGTTTCTACCACATCATTTCCTTCTATGAAGTTTGCAGAAATAAGTAAACCTAGTCTTACTATTTCTTATTATTCTTACTAGGAATTCTGCTTCTTTGCTTTCTTTCCTTTTCCTTCCCAGTATAAGCACATCTGTGGTATCCCAGATTCTCTCTGTTCTGGCTCTCTCCATATCACCTGCAAAACTTCTCACCTCTGGGGCTCCATAGTCATCCAGACCTTCTGCCTTCCTTCCACAGGACCTTTGCACATGCTTGTCCTAGAAAGGTCTAGAAGTTTGTCAAAGTCAACTTCCTCTTTTGCTCCATGTTCAAGTGTCTTCCACCCACTGCTCCAGCCAAGCCTTTTGTTTGTTGTAGGTCATAGAATTACATTGCTTCCCTTCAGAATTTTCCTGCTCATGTATCATTACAGAGTCACAGTGATTATTTATGACTGTCTTCTCTTTCTTACTAATCTCTATGTTTTAGGACCCCTGACTATGATTCACGTTACATTAGACTCCAAACAACAAGCTTTGGATGTCTAGCAACTACCCAATCAATTACCTAAAAGTAATAGAGCCTATAGAAAGCTTTATTCTATTCTTTTAGGCAGTGCTCAGGGCTTCCTCCTTCCTCTGAGCTCAGGGATCACTCCTGGTGGGTCTCAGGTGAGCATATAGGGTATAGGGAATCAAACTTCAGCCCCCCTGCAAGACCTGCACCCTGTCTGCAGTACTTCCTTTCCAAGCCAGTAATGCTTTGTTCTAACTGCATTCTGGAAATACTGGAAACCCAAGTAAGGAATTCAGTTTTTGTTTTTGTTTATTTATAGGTTACAGGAGCCACTAAGGAGTTTTCTAAAGAGGAAATGTGTGAGCTGATGGTTGCTGAGGTGAGATCTCTGTGGAAGTGGTCAGGGGCAAAGCCAGAAGAAAAGTTGTGGCAGAGTCCGGCCTGAGACAACCCCAGGGTGGCTGGGACATGGCACACAGAGAAGCCGCGGAAGCCTCCCAGCACTGCAACCCTCAAGCCCTCCTAGCCATGACCTCACAATCACCTTCCAACACGGGCTCTCAGCCCAGCCACATTCTGTTCCCATCTCCAGGCCACACCCTGAGGTCAGGAAACCAAGACCAGGGACTCCCCACAGTGAATCTGCAAGTTTCCATCCAAAGCATCACCCGGACGCCAGCATGATGGAGGAGCAGGAGGACCTGAAGAACAGGATGCCCACGGAGAGGAAATCTGTGTGGAGGACGCCTGAGGAGCGGCGCATGTCCGACCTGACGCGGGTGCTGGAGTGGCTGGAGCGGAGGCAGGGGAAGAAGAGGCAGGAGGTGGGTACGGCGGGGGAATGGTGGGGGCACTCCCTGGAGGACTGGGGCGAGCTGAGCCAGATCAGCTGCAATAGGGAAGAGAACGGCTCCCTGCTGGGCCAGGGCTGTGTGCCCAGGGCCCAGGGGTACAGCGGGGTGGGATCTGGGGCTGCTTCCCATGGCTGCAGGTCAGAGGTCACTGGAGAGGCCAATCTGCACTGTGTGATGCACCCCAGGTGGGTTCTGGAGTGGAGGGATAGTGATAATGTTGGGGTGGAGGGCAGGAGCATTAGAGAGGGGTGGACTACCAGCAGGGTGGGTGAGGGCTGCACACTCACTCATCAAGGGATACGAGATTGTTCTGTACCCCACCTGGGTGAGCACTGTGCCGGCTACCCTGTGTCCTTCCAGAAAATCGAAAGCAAGGGGAAGATATCCACAAAAAGAAGTGAGAAGGTTGTCCCCAAATTGAAGCTCCCTGCAAAATCGCAGGCACCAGGCCACCGGGTGATGTTCTCCTTGCAGGTAAACATGCCCCTACCCTCTCCCCTTATTGCAAAGGGGGCACCCCCTGGGCACCCACATTGCGCCTCTGCCCATCAGCAGCATGATAATCATTATCCTGCTCATTGTTAAGGCTATGAAGCACATCCCACTGCCCGGTGAGTCCACTGCCCACTCTCCACCCAGTATCCGCACTGCCCACTGGTCTGGGAAGACTGGTTCTAAAGCGAAGACCTTCCTTGATGCCACATCCTCCCACCCCAAGCCAGACCATTCAGTGCCACATGGAAAGGTGAGTTCCCCAAAATGTGCTTTTCACACCCCGGGAAAGCTCCTTGGAGATACGGGATGCAAAAACAGAGTTTATGAGTGGGTTCCTCCTGCCACCTGCCCAGCCCACCTGCCTTTCAGTGGGCTCTTGAAGACACCGATTCGGGAGCACAGGAAGCTGATTCAAATCTTGTTCCCCAGCAAGGATTACTTTCCCGGAGCAAGCCCCCCACCAAAGTCCCAAAGAAGGAAGAGGAGCATCTTGCCCTTCCCCCGAAGTCCTACATGCTGGAAGGGAAGAAGAGACGCCTGAGCTCCATCTCCGGCATCAATGTCAAGGAACCTCCCCGGAAATCAGGTGAGGGGCCCTGGGCTCTGGGACACCTGGCTGTCTTCCAGGAGGCTGATCCTCAGAGGGAGCAGGAACCCCCCACAGGTCTCTGAGCAGCAGTGTCCATGCATGCCCCGCCCCCAGCCCTGGAACACAGGCGGAGCCCCACACAGCCCTCTGGGGACTGTACCAGCAGGGGACAGTGACTGGAAGTGTATGATGGTAAGTCTTTGCCCTCTGGGTGCTAGGCTCCCAAGACCATTTTGGTGGCACCCGAATGATCTACTTTGTTAGAGACCATGGCACTATTCCTGTGGTTCAGGGGCCCACTGATGCTCAAAGAAAGTCCACAGGGGCTAGTCCTCACGCCCAGCTCCCAGGAGCATCCACCTTCCCGGCCCACCTTGTCCCCTGTAGGGAACTCAGAGCTGCACCTCTGGGTCCTGTTTTTATGTCTGTGAAAGGGGCAGCATGAGCTGGCACGGGTTCATCATCTTTAGCAAGATGAGGCATAAAGCACTAAGCCTGCTACAGAGTCGGTGTTCACTAAAGGAACCCAATGACTCTAAGGATGAAACTGCTCCAGTTTTCTCAGGAGAAGGGCTGGGATGTTGGGGCTCGGCTGTAGAGCGCATTCTCAGGAGCAGACACATTCAGTATGCCTAGGTTCTTGGGATGGAAGTGTACAGTAAGAGGAATCTGGAAGGGATGCTGGTGAGCTCAAGGTTGGTCAAGAGCCTCTGATGCTTTGTGGGCTGCCCCTGGCGCATCCTGTTCTACTGGAAAACGCCTCCTACTAAACCCAAGAAAAGGTCTTTTATCCCTTTTTGTTTAGTACACCAAGGACTCTCGCCAGCATACCATCACTGGCCGTCAGACTTAAATGTGATTTCTCCTCAATGAAGTGCAGGACTGAATCCTAAAACAGCATTAGAGTGGGGGTGGGGTGGGGTGGGGTGGAGGAATGAGTGAAGTAAGAAAAGACAACCGCTCTACAAGGTGCTGTGTTAATTTCACAGTTTTGGCAACTGCACCCTGCTTGTGGGAGGTGTCAAAATTAGAGGGAACTGAGGAACTCGGAACTCTCTTCACAGCTCTTGTGCATCTAAAACTGCTCCAAAATTAAGGTTTTATAAAAAAAAAAACCTAGCTTGGCTGATGCCCTCCAGGAAGCACTCAGGCTCCTGAGATTTTCCTGTGATCCCACTGACTCTAAAGTTTTGCTCCTGCTGAACCCTAAACATCCTCAAATCTCATTCTACTGGTCCTTCCCTTCTCCCTGCCAGTCCAGGTACAGACTTGTCCTTTCGCGTTGCTCACACCTCTTTTGTGATGCCTTCCGGGTAAGCAGATTCCCACCATCTCCCTGAGAACACTGTCTCAATCTTGTCCTTCCTCTTCACCGCCCTTCCTGGTCCCCCTGAGACCTCACCACACAAATGCTTATCTTCCTCTCTTAAAAAACCTCTAGGCTGGTCAAGGCTGGCCAAAGGCAACAAGGGAAACCACCTTAAGCTACAGGTATGGCCTTGTTGACCTCATTTATGTGAACAAAGGATGCAAAAATATTCCTGTGGAGTGGGTATTTTTCTTTGTCCTGCTTGATCTGATTCCCCATAACTTTTCTCTGGCCCACACTTTTTCCCAGTAAAGTTGTTAACCTCAGATGTTTCTGCCTCACTTCACTAACTTTCCTATTTTCTCCCACACCTACATTTCTCCCTCTGAATTCCCACTGAACTGTCCCTCTCATCTCCTTGTAACTTTTTCTGAATGACTTTATCTGAACACATAGCTTTAGCCACCCACTGCCTGTTGGTTTTCCGTTTAAATCTCCAGAGAGCCCTCTGTCCTGAGCTCCACTCCTTTACCCAACTGCCAATGTTAACTCAAATAACCCATGGGCTCTGCAAATCCACACACTCCATCTTTGGATGTTCCAGCTTCAAGAAACACTGACCTCGGGGCTGGAGTGATAGCACAGCGGGTAGGGTGTTTGCCTTGCACGCAGCCAACCCGGGTTCAATTCCCAGCATCCCATATGGTCTCCTCCAGGAGTAATTCCTGAGTGCAAAGCCAGGAGTAAACCCTGAGCATTGCCAGGTGTGACCCGAAAAGCAAAAAAAAGAAAAAAGAAAAAAAGAAACACTGACCTCTCTTGGCAGTCCAAGTTAAAAGTCACCTTCCTATCAAAATTCAGAACCTGGTACATGGTGCGCTAAAGGTTCAACCTCGTTTATGTCCCCTTTCACCATTAGAACCTCTAACCACTTTCATGGAGAGAACAGATGGTTGGGTCTTACTTTTTAGAAAACCAATCTGAAAATTTCAGCCTTCCCAATTTAATGTTGAGACCATTTACACTGAATGGGATCATTGATTTTATTGGATGGATTAAATCTACTGTCTTGTCATTTGTTTCTAATTTATTCCATCTGTCCTTTGCTCCCCCCTTTCTATCTTTCTATTTTCTGCCTTCTTTAGGAATGGGTGTATTTATGATTTCATTTACTCATTTTTGTTGGCTTATGAGCTATAAATATTTTCTGTATTGTTTTAGTGATTGCTTAGCTATCCCTATTCATCTTTGAATTATCATAATCAAGCATCTCCTTCACATAGTTGATATCCCTTTATGTCAAACATATGGAACTCACAAAAACATATTTCTCCTCTCCTAACCTTCATGGTATCATTGCTACACATTATATTTCTCCATATGTCATAAATCCTACAATACACTACAATACATTGCTACTGTTTGGAGGGGGAATGGTGTAGCCCACACATGGAAATGGTCAGAAACTACTCTTGGCTCTGTGCTCAAGGGTCACTCAAGTAACTCAAGGAACCAGGTGATGCCAGGGATGGAATCCAGGTGTCCTGCATGACCGCTTGCATTCCATCCTTTGAACTATCTCCACACTGTTACTTGTTTTTCTCTCAGTAATTTTCTTTTTTAAAAAATTAATTAAAAATTATGATTTACAAAGTTATTGATAGTTGGGTTTTAGGAACACAATATTTCACCACCAATTCCACCACCAGTGTCAACTTACCTCCACAACTGTTCCTACACTCCCTCCTCCCTCCTGCACCTCCGAAAGAAACACACACACCTGCCACCTTGACAAACACATTTTGAAGTTCTGTGGTTCTAGTTTAGATCCCATGTTTTCAGTGCTGTTGAGTCTGTGCTTTGGATCTATAGAATGTCAGAAAAATTCTTTTAGAGATCATTTTTGTTTATTCTCACATTTAACATTTTTGAGACTCTTCATTTATTTAAATATGTCCAAGTTTACATCAAGAGTCATTTTCTTCTATATGAAGATCTTTATTTAACATTTGTTGGGGGAGGGAGTTACTGGTGATTAATTGTTTCAGCTTTTTTCAGCTCTGAAATATTTGGGGGAGGGTCACTCCTGGAGATGCCCAGGGGTTACTCCTGGCTCATGCACTCAGGAATTACTCCTGGCGGTGCTCGAGGGACCATATGGAATGCTGGGAATTGAACCCGGGTCGGCCACGTGCAAATGCCGTATCCTCTGTGCTATTGCTCCAGCCCCAGTTCTGAAATATCTTTACCTTTATTTCTAAAAAATAATTTTTATGAGTATAAAATTCTAGATTGGCAGGTTTTTTTTTAAATACTTGATATGTTCCACTATTTTTAACCTTCTTTGTTTCTAGTGAGAAGTTGACTATCAACTTTGCTTGTGTTATTCTGTCTTATATTTTTTTCTCCTTTGACTTCTTCGACGATTTTCTTTTTAACCAATTTTATTAGGATATGTTTGTATTTTTACTTAATGTTTCTTGTGTTCATATTCTGTTGAGATCATTGTTTATAGTTTTTACTGTCACTTCATAAAATAGGGGCATAGTGTATTTTTAAATATATTTTTGGCCCTACTTCATCTCTTTCAGGCATATGATTATATATTTTAAGTCTCACAGCTCACTGTTTTTCCCTTTCATTTCATCTTTTTCTATCACTATATCTTCAGGTCCACTGATCTTTTATTCTGTAATACCTAATCTTATATTAATGCCAAACATTTTTCACTTCAGACATTGTAGCTTTCGTCTCTAAAAAGTCACTTTGGGTCCATGTTTATCTTCTGTGTACTTTCTTAACATGCTTGTGATTCTTGAACAAGCTACATTTACAATAGTTGCTTTGATGGTCTCACCAACCAATTCTATTGGCTTATTTCCTCTCCTACATTGTATTGCTTAGTGCTCAGCTGAGAGAATTCTTTGCAAATCTGTATAGAACTTCATGCAGTTTTGTTCTGCTACTCTTCCCCATGAGTTTTAGCTGCCTTGATCCATTTGGATTGTCTACATTCTGTCCCAGCTCAAAGAAACGTCTGCACTTTGCATAATTTTCCCTCTGAGATTCAACTAGATGCATCTTACATCAAGTATTTAGCGTCATCAATAACATAGCCCTTTGTTTTGCCTCTAAAATGATCAGTGCACAGTGTGGTCTGCTGTCCAATATCTAAAAACTGGTATTTTATGCCATAAGCCCTTATTTTTACTTGTTTGTTATGTGAGGATACACCTGGCACCCATTATCCCATCTTTGCTGAAAGAAGCCTTATATATTGATCTTCTAAGTAAACTTGATCGAATGCAACAGCAAGTCACTGATACTTTTTACAAAGAAGCTACTAGGTCCAATAACCAGCACTTCATGGTCCCCCAGGCATCACCAGGAGCAATCCCTGAGCTGCAAATTAGGAACAAGCTCTAAGCCATCATATCTTAATATCAGGGCTGAGCAAAAAATCAGGTCACTCTTAGAATAACATAGTGCAAAAAAGCCAAAAAAAATTCAGCAGACCAATATATGAAAGTGTATCAAAAACATCAATGTCATAGGTAAATAATAGGCCAGGACCAAACTGGGGTTTATTACAAATTCATTACAGCAGGTTATGAATCAGTAGGTTATCTTTACCAAGATCTAGAACAACCTAATTAGATTGCTGCATTAAAGGAAAAGCTATATTGCTATTTCAGTTGATAAACAAGCACCTATTGTTAATAAAGACTATACAACTGTACAGTACTAAAACTGCTGAGATATTAAAAACATGCCCAACAATGAAACATCACAATCATTTTAATTAAAGTCAGGGACAAATAAGGCAGGACTATTATCATTATTGACATTGTTTTGAAGTGTCTATCAAATGCAATATGTCAAGAAAAGTTCATATTTTTATAAATATTATGAAGGAGTTATTTTTATATTCCCAAGACAATTTTCTTATCTGCAAAGAAATTCCCCTCAGAAATGCATAGAAATTGGCATGTGCTAGGAAAAAAATATTTTGAACAATCCCTTTACCTTTGTTTTTGTTATACCAGTTAGAAACAAAAATAGGAAGGAAATATATGTTTCTCATAAATAAACACCTTAAAATGCTTAAGAAAAAAAATGAAGGTTCCCAATGCCTGTCCTAAGCATCTTTTAAGTACAAATCCCATGTTTGGGTTTCATCTTGTAGAGTGTGTCTTTATGCCTGCTCACCCTCAGCAATATTTTCCTTCCTTCTTCACCTGATAAACCATTTGTCCTATAAAACTCAGTTCAGGAGCCAAAACGATAGTACAGCAGGTCGGGCATTTGCCTTGCACACAGCCGACCCGGGTTCAATCCCTGGCATCCCATAAAATTCCCCCAAGCACCGCCAGGACTAATTCCGGAGTGCAGAGCCAGGACTAACCCTGAGAGCATCACTGGGTATGACCCAAAAAGCAAAAAAAGTAAATAAAACCCAATTCAGGGACCCTAAGTGGTAATCTCATGTATAGGGCACTTGCCTTGTACGCTGCCCACCTGGGTTCAGGCCTCTGCATCGCAAATGCACTCCCCCAACCACCGACACCACTAGGAGTTAATTCCTGAGTGCAGAGCCAATAGTAAGCCCTGCGCCTCGCTGAGTGAGTGACCCCAAAAACAAAATAAATAAAAATAAAATCCTGCTCCAAGTTGATCTTTGAGCCCCTCTACACCCAGGTCAAGTTCCCTGTAGGAAGAACTAAGAGAAGACTAGCAGGGAGGGAATAAGGGAAAGAGCAGGGGAGAGACTCGAGAGGCAGAGAGAAAGGAGGGAGGTGAAGATGAATGCAGGTAGAACCGGCTCCTCCGAGAAATGCATTGCTGCCAGCAGGCACACAGGCTTTTGTTGGCCGCTCCGCCTTCCAGCTCATCCTACCTGCCCGCCTCTGAGTCCTCTGGGGACCTCTGCTCCATTTCAGAGCTGGACATCAAGGACGTGATTGCACTGGAGACCAACCAGCGGCCCTTCCGCCAGCAGAGCATAGTGGAGCCCATGCTGCAGGATATTCTCTTTTCCCAGCGGAGATCGACCCTCTTTAGAGAGTGGGCAGGCAAGACCTCGGAGGCACTGTACGAACGCAGACTGAAGAGCCTCATCGAGAAGACCCCGGAGCCCAAGGCAGAAGCATCGAAAATGCTGAGGCCGGAGGAGGTGCTGAGCTGCCGGTGAGCAGCCGGGCCAGGGGACCTGCTTGGGTCAAGTCCGTGGCCTGGGAGAGCCGGGTGGGTGGCTCTATCTTGGCACCCCAGAGAGCAGCTCTGGAGCCGAGGCGATTGTCCTTGCAAGCGGGACCCTCTGCAGGTGGTGGGGGACGCATAGGGGCCACCATTTTGACACCACGCCTTTAAACACTCACAGCAGGCCTGCCAACATTTCCATTATTTCACTAAAGAGACCATAATCATTGGGCTGGAGAGAGTACAGGGGTAACACACTTGTCTGGGACATCCCCGGCACCACAATTGGTTCCCTGAGTACCACTAGGAGTGGTCCCTGAGCACCACTAGATGTGACCCCAATTTGTCCCCAATATATTCAAAGAGAAAAAAAAAGGAAAACCATGAGAACTGGAAAAAGAAAAGTGTCATTTGTGCCTTGTTTGAAATTCCCCCAGAGCCTCTGCGCTCTGGTGTGGAACCGCTGGATGGTGGCCACCTTAGATGGCTCTCAGAAGGTGGGTGAGTGAAGAGCGGGACCATAGCACAGTGGTAGGGCGTTTGCCTTGCGCACGGCCAGCCCGGCTGAGCCGGGTTCAATTCCTCCGCCCCTCTCGGAGAGCCTGGCAAGCTACTGAGAATATTCAATATGCCAAACACAGTAACAAGAAGTCTCACAATGGAGACGTTACTGGGCCCACTTGAGCAAATCAATGAACAATGGGAGGACAGACAGACAGACAGCTCTTCCCCGAGGACCCCCCTCCTCGCCTGTGTTCATGAGAAAGTTTCAGATGGCTTTGAGGCCTGCCCTGTGACACACACACACACACACCCCCCCCCCCCCACACACACACACATACACACACCACCAGAGGCGTCCTCTCCTCCCAGCTGATTGGCTGGACAGCAGCTCCCTGCCTTCCCAAGACTTAATGATTCTGTTTTCAGATCCCCAGGGGTGGCTTCTAATGGACTCTGGCCCCCAGGTCGCCTACCTGGGCACCAGGTAGGGAGAAGAGCTTTGGACAGCAGGGAAGGGGGCCCCTAAGAAAACATGAGAAAAATATCCAAGGAAAGGATGATAGTGTCCAGACTGTGGGTCTTAGTAAGTGCCCCCAGAGAGACAGGGGGCTGTGGGGGAAAAGCCTTGCAGGTAGGGTCTGGGGAACAATCAACTGTCCAGGTGCAGACACTTGACTATTTCCGAAGTCACAACTGGGGCTTTAGCTATGCTCTATGCCAATGGCCTATTTTTCTTATTGCTTGAATATTATTAAAAGAAAAAAAAAACATGTCTATTCCCACGCCCCTGCTTAGCCTCATTTCCATTGCCCCGTCTCTCCCAGCCCCTGGCACAGCAGGGAGACGACAGGCCCTTAGCTATTTGCTTCCTGGGCTTTCTCCCCGGCCACAGCCAGGGGACTCTTTCCGCCCAATGGCAGCTTAGTGCTAAGGGAACTGCCCTTGAAATAGACAAGCATTATCCGCTTAACCTCCTCCTCTGTGGATGGAACTGTCTCTCCCCCTACCGTGGATGATCCCAAGACGAAGGCTTTTATTTCAAAACAGGCAAGCAAACAAACAAACAACAACAACAACAAAAAACTCATCCTTTCCATCAACTTCTCAGGATTCATTGAGAGGGGGAGTGAAATTAGAGTCAATGATAATAAACCTGGGCCTGGAGCGATAGCAAAGCCGGTAGGGCATTTGCCTTACACACAGCCAACCCGGGTTCAATTCCCATCATCCCATATGGTCCCCTGAGCACTGCCAGGAGTAATTCCTGAGTGCATGAGCCAGGAGTAACCCCTGTGCATGGTTGGGTGTGATGTAAAAAGAAAAAAGAAGAAGAAGAAGAAGAAGAAGAAGAAGAAGAAGAAGAAGAAGAAGAAGAAGAAGAAGAAGAAGAAGAAGAAGAAGAAGAAGAAGAAGAAAAGAAAAAGATAACAATCCTGTTATTCAGGGGTAAGGGGTGGCTGGGAGGTGAAAGTGTGTGTGTTGGTGGGGGAGAGGTGTTGTTTGTTTGTTTATTTGTTTTGGGGGGGCATGCCTAACAATGCCCAGGACCTACTCCTGGTCAAGCTCAGGATACCACATGTGATGCCGGGGTTCGAACCCCAATTAGCTGCCTGCAAGGCACACGCCCTACCCACTCATTGTACTATCATTTCAGCCCCCAAAGGAGTGTTTTTCTTTGGTGTCTTTGTAGCCAAATTAATGTCCAAAGAAGGTGACACATCAGAATCCCCACTCCTCACGGCTGCTCTGTCAGCTCCCGCAGCTCCACGGCCTGTTCCTCCAGAGAAAGTTGGGAGCTCCAAGAACACCCCAGCTGAGCCCGGGCCTTGCCCCCACCCCGCCCTCAGGTACCTGCGACTGTCCAAGAACAACGTGCGCACCCTGCTCAAGCTCTGCAAGGACGCGGGCATGAACGTGGACATCCACCCCCACATGGTGGAGGGGGAGATTGACGGACGCAAGGTGTTCGGCCACAACCAAAGCATCACACTCTGAGACCCCTGCTGCCAGACGGGCTCCGGGCTGGCCTTCCTCACCCACCGGGCCCCCTGGCAGACGGTAGCAGTCTGAAAAGAACCCTAACTAGCATGGACCCGGGCGCTAATGTCATGTTTGTCCTTGTCAGAGTGGTGGTGGTGGGGGGGAGACAAGATGGTGTGGACACACACACACACACACACACACACACACAATGAGTCTTAGGAAAAGCTGAGTGGGGAGGAAGTCTTAGAAGAAGCAGAAAGGTGGCGTTCCACAACCCTCACAGACCACATCAGCACGCAGAAGCAGTGCTGGAGAGACACCACAGAGAAGCTCGTCCAGAGACAGCAGCAGGGCTGAGGTCAAAGGCACTACCTCCCCAAGTGTCTCCACGTTCTGTTTGAAAGAGACCCCACAAATCCCATGGGACTGCATAGTCTAGAACAGCAACCCCCACTGAGATAATAAGCCTGAACCCCAGAGGTGTCACTCCCTTCTCCCACTTTCTACGTGTGCCTTTCCTTCTCTGGGCTCCTTTTTTTGGCCTCTGTGAGTCACGGGACTCGGGAGCTGAGCACCAAGAACAGGCACAGGGGGCTGGCACACCCAACAGAACACACCCAAGACTGGACCCATGCAAGGGGCAGAGGGATGGACCACACTGCCCCACCTCCTCAGGAGCTGGCAAAGCTGGGTGTGGTTTCATGAAGGAAATCCCTTGGGTCCCAAAGCACAGGGAGGAGAAGGAGAGACAGAGTGAGGTGGGAGGAGAAGAGACAGACGAGAAGCACCGCGGGTAAGGATCAAGGTCCAGGAGATGGAATAATGATAGAGATAAATATCCAAACCACAGTCAACCGCACGCTATTGAAGACCCAATCTTCAATAGCCTAACTCAAAAAGGTGCTTGTCCAGTTGGCAGATTTGGCAGGTGGTGAGTGTGTGTGTGTGTGTGTGTGTGTGTGTGTGTGTATTGGGGGGAGGGGGAGGAGAGGGGAGGTATGGGGAAGAGGAGAGGGAACCCGGTGGGGGGAAGTTGACGGCTGGTGATGGAATTGGTGCTGGAACATGAGCTTGTCTAAAACCCAATTATGAATAACTGTAAATCACAATGATTAAATAAAAATTTGGGGTTAAAAAAACAATCTTTTCAAAGCTGTTGATTTGAAACCCATAACACTAAACTCAGCTGTCTCTGAGCCTCCCAGAGCTCAGGCTTCTGGCCATGCCTCCCTCCCCAGCCTCCAGCCTCTTTCATCGATCCACCAGGCTGTGCAAGGGCTTCGGGGGAGGGTCTGACAGTAGAAGGCACCTCCACACCCACCCCAGGATTTCTGGGTGTTCTCTCTGAAGCCATCATGCTGGGGCTCAGAGTAAGTTTTAGAGGCTTCCAGAAGCCACCGTGAGTCGGCATGGAGGGGAGACAATGCCCCAAGAGGAGAGAGTGGATCAGAGCAGGTCTGCACTGCCTAGAGCTTTGGAATGGGGAGGCAAGGTGCTTCCTGAGCCCAAAGGGGTGGGCCTGGTGAGGGCAGCTTACTCCCATCCAGGCTCTGTCCCTGACAAAGGCATCCCCAGTACCATTACTGCAGTGCCAGGCTGTGTGCCAGCACTCTGGGCATTGTCTGTGCTCTCTCCTGAAGGCCATGTGGGAGGGGAAACTTTGCTCTGAGAAATACACACAAATTGGGCAGAGGACGAGGAGCACCAATGTGTTGGTAGGAGCAGATGAAACGTGTGCCTTTTCATCGTGCACTTGTTTCTTCATTGTTTCTCTCACACACAATTCAGCCTTAGCAGGGGACTCAAAAATGCAGTGAGGAGCCCCCACCCAATATTCTTCAGTATAGAAAGGGCCCAGCTCAAAACTAACCTTGAAGGAACTGCAAAGGCCCTGAATTGTCCCACCATGTTCTCAGTTCTGGGCTAAGAGCTCTGAGGCCTTCTCAGAATGGGGGTCTCTCATTGCCAAGGGACCCAGAAGCCCCTACGCACACCTGACATCCTTCTGTACAAAAAAAGGCCCAACTCCACAACTGAGTCTTATTAAATCTCCAAACCACCAAATCACTCCAGCTCCTGGAGTGTGCAGCTGCACAACACCTCCAAATTTCATAGTACTGACAGCCCACAAAGAAGCACAGCAAATTTGATGGAAGTCGCATAGAAGATCACCAACCCCAATGAGTGAAAACAAAAACACATAAGGTTAAAATAGCACCAACCAGCTCAGTAAATCCTCAGACAGTGATGTTAGTAACATCAACATAAGATATAATAATTATCACAAATTGACTTTTATTGATCTATTTTGATAAGTCTATTTGCCATTTTGTTAGAACAGCAATGTGCAATAAATTTTGTTTGTACCTGCCAAGTGGGAATATTTGAGGGACAGTAGGAAATAGGGAATATTAAGAGAGGGAAGGTCACACTGGTGTCTGGAACATTGAATGACCAAAACAACTGTATTACAAATAACTTTGTAAATTATGACGTTTAAATAATTTTTAAAAATTTTAAAGCAAAAGTTTTTCTGTCCTGAGGATAAAGAACATAAGCACACCATTATTCATTGCAGCACTCAGTCCAATAGCTAAGATTTGAAATCAACCTAGATGTCCAACGACAGATCAGTGGATTATAATGTGGTATATATACACAGTAAACTACTACACAGCTGTAAGGAATGATGCAGTCATTCAATTTGTCGCATCATGGATGGAACTGGAAGACATCACGTTAAATGAAGCCAGAAGAAGAAGGATAAACACAGGATGGTAGCACTTATATGTGGTATTTAGAATAACAGGATGAGGAAACGCAATGGTTTAAAGGGGGGATTGCCCAGTTCCACCTTGACCTCAGAGAAGGAAAGAAAGAGTGGTGGGGAGGAAGAAGAGAAACAGATAAAAGGGAACGGGGTCCAGGTCAGATGCCCCCGTTTGGCAGGGAGTGAGATGCCCCAAGTTTGCAGCAGCCATGGGACCCACATGTCCATGCCCTCCCTACCTGGCCTCCCATCCCTCTCCAGGCTGCCCAGTAAAGTGCCAGTGCCTGGGCCAGTGCAGGGTGAGCTACCCACGACACTGCCATTCAGTGAGGACTTGGGGATCCAGGGACCCCCGGGAGCTCCCCCCACAGGGTCCCAGATTGCTGGTTAGCACGATCCCCTCTTCAGAGCAGCAGCTTTGGGACCCTTAGCTAATTCTCACCACACAGCACTGTTGTGTGTAGTCATGGGGGACCCTGAGGGGACCCTCACCTCTCCAACCCCAGAGGTTCTTGCAATGCGCTTTTGGGGTCCACAGGGACTGGGAAAGGAGGGGATGCAGTTGGGGAGGAGTCTGTTTCTCCCTCCACTGCCAAGGCCACAGGGTGCCCTGAGGGGGACCAAAGGGGTTTTGTATTTGGACACAGAGACGTCCTGCTTCCTGGCATCACCGGTGGGCCTCAAGATTCAGATAAACTGAGGAAGGAATGTGTGTCTGCTATCCACACACCACTGGTCAGCAGCTCGCTGACACTCAGGTCTGAAGCTCTGGAACCTTCCCGTGAGTTCAACTGTACTCTGGTGCTGAGACAGTCCCCAAAGCACAAACACTCCAGGACCAGAGTCTCACGGGTACCATGTCCGGGTTTATGAGGAAGGTGACCCCGAGGTGCAGTGGGAAGGGACCTTTTCAATAAATCAGGTTGGTCAATTAAATATCCATATGGAAGAAGTCCCGGCCCTCTGCCTCCCTCCATATGCAAACATCAGTTCCAGATGGATGCAAACTGCCAACGCTTCTAAAAGAAACAGAGAAGACAATCTGCGTGCCCTTGGCGTGTAGGGAAATTTTTTTAAATTTTCAAATAGAACACGAAAGCTCCATAATAAAAGTGGAATCAATCATACTGCATTCAAGTCAATTATTTCTGCCCATCAGAAAACATCACTAAGGGCAGATGCTCCAACGGGGGATAAGTCTAACAAAGGGCTCGCGCACAGCTGACTGGCTTTAACTGCGGTAGATTAATAAGATAAAGGCGACTCAGCAGTAGAGTGTGGACACCTCACAAAGCGCTTAGCCAAATGACCAAGTGAACATTAAAAATGTATCAGAGGGGACCGAGAGGTAGTACAAGCCAGTAGGGCACTTGTCTTGCACACAGCCAACCTGAGTTTGATCCCCAGCACCCCATAGGGACCCCTGAGCACTGCCAGGAGGGATTCCTAAGTCCAGAGCCAGAAGTAAGCCCTGGGCACCAGTAGGGTGGTCCAACACCCTCTTCTCAATATGTGTGTGTGTGTGTGTGTGTGTGTGTGTGTTCTGTGCAGAATGTCCCTGCAGCCTTGTTCTGTAGAGTCACACGCTGGAATCAACAGGGTTCCCAGCAGCGCTTGTAGGGCTGATATGTGCCTGTCTATACCATGGGGAAGTGTTCAATACAGAGAATCATATATCTTGGATGCACAGTTCACAAATACCGTGCAGATAAAACACCGCTTGAGCAGTTCCACGCATAGTTCTGTGTCTGTGACATTCACCCCAGCAAATCAAAGTCCAGGAGCTCTGGAGGATGCAGCGGTGGTTCTTGGAGCAGGTGTGTAGGGGAGAAGGGTGAGGGGGCCTGAGGCTGCTCCACCTGCTCGGGCTGGCTTGTGAACACCCACTGCACGGTGCTCCGGAGATCTATGCGGTTATGATACGCTTCCATTTAAGTGTACACTGTTAAGACGCGTGTTCCCCCTTTTTGTAATGGAGTTATAATTCTGTGCGACAAGAAGAGGAGTCTCAAAAGAGGGTCTGGGCAGCACCCAAAAGGAGAGAGAGAAGAAAAGGGAGTGCCCTGCCACAGAGGCAGGGTGGGATGGTGGGTATGAGGGTGGGAGGGATACTGGGATCATTGGTGGTGGAGAACAGGCACTGGTGGAGGGATGGATACTCGATCATTGTATAACGGAAACCCAAGCACAAAAATTTGTAAGTCTACAACTGTACCTCATGGTGCTTCACTAAAAAAAAAAT